AGTGCTACTTCAGTGGTCATTCCATATTTAATATTTTGTGGAACTGTCAAACTTTTCCAAAGCAGCTGCCTCATTTTACATTGTGGTTAGCAGCATATCAGGCTTCCAATGTCTCCACATCCTCACCCACACGTACTACAATCTGTCTTTTTGATTATCTTCATCCCAGTGGATGTAGGATTATTAGCCTGAGGTCAAAAAGTCAGTGGTATCTCATTGTGGGTTTGTTTTTCATTTCCCTAATGATTAATGAAGAACATCTTTTCATGTGCTTTTCAGCAATTTATATGTTTTCTTGGAGAAATGTCTGTTCAAATACATTTTCTCATTGAGTTGTTGAGTTTGAAGAGTATGTTCTGGATATAAGTCTCTACCAGATACGTGCTTTGCAAACACTTCCTCCTATTCTGCGGGTTATCATTTTCTTGACAGCAGTCATTGAAGCACAGATGTTCCTAATTTTGATCAAGTCCAATTTATCTGTTTTGTTCTTTTGTCATTGCCTTTAATCTTTTTCCCAAATATGAGAATTTTGTAGGCTCACTTTTTTTTTTATTAAAAAGCTATCTGCACTTTTAGAAATACACTTACTAATAACAATCTAGCTTTACTTTTGTTCAGTTGTATTAGCACTCTCAATTAGAAGAGAGTTCTAAGCAGTAGCCAGAGCAGTAGTAACTAGTAGTAAATAAGCTTTTGTTAGTGGAAACTATTTTAGCCACATTTTCATTAAAAGAAAAAAAAAATTCAACATCTGATCTCCAATTTATATTAGAAAAATTCTGTGTGTGCTATGGACACTACTAATCGCACTTCCCATTGTTGGAAAAGCCCTTGTGAAACATTTGTCAAGCACATAAAATGATATGAAAGTGAAATATAGTAATTAAGATTTGTGTTCTATTGATTGTGTAGCTTAAGTAATTTTTCATTACTAACATAAGATTTAATAAGTATAAGTAGTTAAAGATTCTGACTTGGCACTAGTCATTAGCACGTAATTGAACTAGTAAAAAAGATCAGTTAAAGCTGTGTTGATTACCACCTTATCTTTGAAAGGCAATTAAAGACCTCAATCATGCAACAAGATTTGATTGTGCAGCCTTTATTGGACATTGATCTTTCAGCAAAGTGCAGTTACATTTTCCATTAATTTACAGTAACACAGTTTAACTCTGATACCCTAGACTGTTGACCCAGGTGAGATGTAATCCTAAGTACTTGTTTAGGTTAAGATGCCCCCAAACGTCATTATTGTCTGAATAGTAAGTGCTGAAAAAAAGGAGATACTTGATCCACTAGCTTTAGGATAAGGTTTCTGTTATCTGCACTAGCTTTTAAGTGAAGTGAAAGCAAGATCCTTGCCCACTCATTTAAACTTCATTCATTCTTTAATAGAGCTAAGAGATATTTCCTGAAGAGTTATTGATGTTTTGTGCCTACAGTTTGGGTAAATATAAATAAAAATGACATGAAGGAAAATATAATTTTTAAGAAGAAATACATATGACCTTTAATAATTAAAAATGTTTCGCTTTTCACTGAAATCAGCATTAGCAAAATATTAATGACCACCTCTGTTTGATGAAACCAACAGTAACAATGTGTAAAGTTTGGTGTATTAGGATGTTAGCACTAACCAAGTAGTTATTGTTAGGTCATCAATGTTTTCTGTGCTCCGAACATGGTTATTACATCTTTGTATTGGCTTGCAACTTACACAGGAAACAAGAATTTTATCTAGAAATGTCTTCCAATGATAATTGATTTGTGTAAAAAGAACAAATATTTATTTGTACTAAAAAACACATCTTTGTTACAATCGTTTTGCCTGGATTATTTTAAATACAAAATCCCATTAAAGAAGTATAGGCAGGGTACATGTGAATCTCTCTAATTGTAGAATGTAAATGTCTTAACACAATAACTAAGAAAAAGACATGAAGGCTACGTTAACCAGTTGGATGAAAGTATTTTAAATTGTATACAGAAACAGTACACTGTACCCCATCACACTGCTATGATATAATAAAAAGTATAGGCAGAAAAGTTGAATTTGTGGTTTCATCACCTACAAAAACTCCTGATATCCAGAAGGGCCCCTTCATCTCCCCCCACCACTTTAGGGCTAATGGGCACACACAGAGACACACAAAATACCTTCAGTGTGACTCTCCCTCTCACCTTATTTTTAAAATCCTTTTGTTAATGAAGTCCTTTAAATATAAATACATGGAACAGAAGAATGTGGATTACAAAACCCGAGCTTTTTCTGAAATAAAAGTAAAACGGATGCGTGTTTACAAGCATATTCATGTTACATTTTAAGGTAGAAAGGTCTCCAGTTTCATTCTTCTCATATTACAGGTGGAAAAACTAAGACAACAAAGGAGTAGAATGATTAGCTTGAGGTCAAAAAGACAGCACTCATACTAAAAATAGACTCAGTCTCTTGACTTCCAGCAATTATGTTGGTACTTTATCCCTTTTAGGTCACAATGCTTCCCTATAATATGCGACCTCAAAGAAAAAAACTTAAAACTATTACTGTTCAATGGGAAGTATTTTTTCAGACTAAAAGGTTCACCACAAGACTTAAAACCAATAAATGATATTTTAATTTCTGAACCAAGCCCTTAGCCATCCTTGAGTTCATCCTTCACCATGATCAACTCCATAGGAGCAAGAGGTCTATTGATTTTCATGTAATACAAGAAAATATTACATTTGCTTAATTGTTACACGGTGAGCACATCAGACAAGAAATCAAGGCTCTATTTAATGCTGCAAGCAGCAGAGAATTACAAAGATCGATAGGGTAGTTTGTCAAAGATGTTCTCCAAGGAGACTTACCTATCACTATATGGACAAGAAGTCACATTGATGGTAGCTATTGAAAAACAGGTAAGCAGAGTCAGCAATACAAATTATCAGAAATCAAACAGGCCAGTGTGAAAAGACGTACACCTCTACTGAAAAGCTGTATTTATAGTCTGGTAATTAAAAACCATTTTATCAGCCTTGTGCTGGGACCAAACCTGGACAGCAAGTATTGACAATTCCAGTAGCAATGAATGAGCAGTATTTGACTTAAAACTTATGAGCTATAGTTATTTAACTTAGCCCATTACAGAGGAAATCAGTTCCAGCCTTCCTTGCAAAATGCTAATAGTCAGTTTTATTATTAATGAAGCTTAATGCAACACTATCTCCTTTGTGTAAGCCATTCATTTAACTAGTGTCAAGTATATTCTTCTGGACTAAATATATTGGCATAAGTACTTCTTTGATTAAAGTGTTATTTAGAATTGCTTTGAGACAAGTGAACACTACATATATTTGAAGAACACTTCACTCCCTGTAGCTCACTGGAGATGATTACCTTTAACGAAGCCAGTTTGTATAACTTCATTTTTCTATTCCTTCCACCTCAATCACTTCCACTCACTTTCCCCACTGACTTGATAGTATTAAGGATCCCAATGTTAAATTTTACAAAATGTTTTGCTACCAAAAAACGTGTGCATGTGTGAGCAACATATTAACATACAATGATAAGTAAAGTATGTTTTTAATTATGGAAGAAATCATAAATCTTAAACACCCATTGGTTTAGAAATTAAATAGTTCTACTTAGTTCTTCCTAAATTACTCCAAATTTCTGAAATTTACCATTTGTTTGGGTAATTTGTGACTACCCCCAGGATAAATTTTTATTAATGACTTTGTTTTCAAAAATGCAATTAACTAAATAAAATTTGAAGGCAAAAGTGCCATCAGGTCTTTAAAATTTCAGCCCATTGCCTATTGTCAGTAAGTCTGTATATGTACCATTTGAGTCCCTTGCTTTCATAAATAATTACCAAGTTAATTTTTCTGAGTTTTTCTAGAACTTAATGGGTCTAGTTTGTTCAGCATGCTATTTAAACTTTTAATGTCCTAACTTCATTTACTCTGCTGTATTTACATTAATCAGAGTTATTACATTTCTTTAAAAAGTAATGTGGTTTTGGATTCTTTAATCAACAAGTTTTGTTCTGGAGGTTTTAAGACAATTTCACTCTGTTGTCCAGGATAGAGTGCCCTGGCCTCAGCCTACCTCACTGTGCAACCTCAAACTCCTGGGTTTGCGATCCTCCTGCCTCAGCTTCCCAGGTAGCTGGGACTACATGTGCCCACAGCTTCCAGCTAATTTTTCTAGCTTTAATAGAAATGAGTCTGGCTTTTCCTCAGGCCAGTCTTGAACTCCTGAGCTCAAGTAATCCTCCCACCTCCGTCTCCCAGAGGGCTAGGATTATGGGCCTGCGCCACCACACCCTGCCTAAACAACCAGAAGGTTTTTTCTTCTTTTTTTGAGACAGAGCCTCAAGCTGTCCCCCTGGGTAGAGTGCCATGGCATCACAGCTCACAGCAACCTCCAACTCCTGGGCTCAAGTGAGTCTCCTGCCTCAATCTCCCAAGTAGCTGGGACTACAGGTGCCTGCCACAACATCCAGCTATTTTTTTGGTTGCAGCTGTCGTTGTTGGCAGGCCCAGGCTGGATTCGAACCTGCCACCTTAGGTGTATGTGGCTGGTGCTGAGCCAACATTTCTATTTAAAATCCTGGCAGCTAAATAGTTTGCACTTCAGATTGCAATTAGATTCTCATCAAGTTTGGATTTGCCAATGATGTACTATTATCTCCACTATATCCCCTAATATTCCCTACTTCTTTTTCCAATGTCATGTAAAAGATTTTCTCCCTCCTCTTTTGTGTGGGCACCTATATTTTCCCTTCAGAGTCAATTTAAATTGTTAATATCCAACTATAGACTATATCACATTATCATCATTTTTTATCTGTAGTTTAACCTAGTTTTAAGGAAAAAATGGTGTGAAGCTTCATGTGTTTCTGGTTCCCATTAGCTAAACAGAGTATGCAATACATAACAACATCTGAAAGGCTTTACCTCTTCAGGGCAATGATTCTTCTTAAAGAACCAGACAACACAGAAAGAAGAAGGTGTTTGGCAAAGTTTTATTTTAAAAGATCAAAAATAACTATTGCACATACACACAAGAGAAAATCCAGTTGCATTTATGTTCTCCAATGCATACTTTCAATACATGGCACCTTCATCTTCTTTATTTAGAAAATAAACTGTTATTGGTCCATAACTGGTCTGCACAGTCTCTGTGACTCTAGCAAATAACCAGGAGCCAAGTCCATATAATAAAGTCGGAATACCTAGAAAACAAACACACGTGTTATACATGACATCAGGACTGATTAATCACGCACTCACGTATCATGTTACCAGTCACACAACACTCTTCAGCCACGTTATCAAGTTTTAAAGATAGATATAAAAATATTACTCAACACTGACTCTATGATTATTGTGTAAGAGCTTAATTTCATCTTGTGGAGCATGGTAGCAATTACGGGAGCCTAGAGATTTTTAAAACTATAGACGAGCTTGGTGTAAATTTTAATTCAAAGCACTTCACTAATTCATTACCTTTAAATAATCATGAAGTAATTCTATATTCTTTTCACAAATAAGCAAATAGAGAAGACCGTAAACTAATTTAATTGTAGACGCTCCTGATTGTTAGCCTTGACCTAAAATTACAAGGTCACCATTATCGTTCTTTAAGTTAGATAGTTAACACTGATGGCTAAAGTAATTTTTGTACAACTTAAAAGAAACTGGGTCAAATAGCTGTATTCAAAACCTAAGGCAAAACTTAACTCTGAGGAAGATTTTAGTACAACAGGGATGAGAAAGAAACACTATTCGTCAGTATTTTCTAATTGATTTGAAAACAACCTTCTTTTAACCAATTTGAAATAAGTATATAATAGACTCCAACATATGTTTCTTTTTTGTAATGTTTCCATTGACAAGATTTTGACGCTTTATTTGAAGTTAGTTGCCAATTGTGATATGGGAAACCAAACACACACTACCCAGAGATAAAAGATTAATCGCTTACCTGAATACGATACTACATTGAGCACAGACCAAACTTTTACAATGCCTTTCTCTTTTTAAGGCACTTATTTAAAACCAGTGACCCTTAACATATTAAAAACATACACTTAAACCACAGGCACATGAATCAATGACAAATATTGCATGAATCAGTAACGAATATTGTATGTTCTGCACAGTAGTATTAATTTTATTGCTCCCATGTGGGAAGTGGGCAGAAAGTGACAATTTAGAAGGAGAGCTGTACATTTGGAAAATCTCTTTCTAGGTAATAAGGAAATCCACACATGCCCAGGACTAATCGTATTGCTAATTTCTTTTTCTTATTTTTCTGCAAGAATCTATTTGCTGTGTTATGCGCTGTTTGAGAGTGTGCTGGGCTACCTAGTGCTTATTCCCTGAAGCTGCATTCCAGCCACTGTGATTAATCAGAAGCATCACTAACTGGCAATGAGAAGGGGAAGGAAAAAAAAATGCCCATTCAGGCTGGTACTTCTCCATTTTTAGGAATATACTAGGTCACAGTTTGTCATTCTCACAAGGCTCGCTAGAATTCCTATAAAACCTTTTTATATCGCCTTCTTTTCCCGGGTAATACCCAGAAGAATCTCTAATGCCTCAAGGGAATGTCACCAAGAAACAACAGCAAGAAAAAACTAGAATAAAAAAAAAGGCAAGTGGCACAGGGGTTGGGGTGATTAGAGAAGCACACGAACAAGATAGACAGAAATTAAGGGAGCAGTCGAAATAAAAAAATAAATTTAAAATATGGTATCACAATTCCAAAAGCTGAAAATCAGTGGGATGAGGAAGAAAAAAAAAGCAGCCTCTAGAAGCAATTATTAATTTTCTAAATATGCCAGGAGTAAAACATATAAAATATGACTTTTAATCCAATGTTAAGAATATATATTTAAGGAATGGCTGATGACACTGAAATTTGTGCTTTAGAACATTTACTACAATTTTCAGTTAAAATATTGATACTTAAAAAATTCACACTTCTGAAAAATTGTACAGTCGATATTTTTTCAGCTGATGGGGAAGAGCTGATCAAAGATTATTAGTATAATAATAACTACATTTCCTCTTATTAAGAAACAACTAGGAACCATTATCAGTAATGCTGTTTGACAGACAGTAATGCTGTTTGGAGTTGTGGTATCAAAGGCATAAATTCTAATTTTTTTCAGCCATCTATTTAATTCAGTCAGACTAATACACTAAATGTGAAGATTTATAACTTATGTACCTAAAAACAATCTTCTAGTCTATAAGATTCCATGAAAAATTAATTTTTTTCTACCCTGTCTGAAACATTTCAGAACATCAAAATGAACTTGAAAACCAGTCTTTGCATAATAATTCATTTTGAGTCAACTGAACAGTAGGTAAACCACTGTCAAATTAAGCACTTAAAAAAAATTAGAACTTCCTAGTAAATCTCCGATTACCCATTCATTCCAATGGTAAGTTGCCTTTCTTAAATCTCAATCTACTTCCCAGCAGGATACCAAGCCTGATAAACCATCAGTAAAATGGCAGCTTCCACTGAAGGGAAAGCAGAGGAGAAGGGGAACAAATGGGTAAGCAGAAGTCTTTATTATTTAGAAAATGAAAAAATGAACTACTTGGATAACTGCTAATTTGGAAGAGAAAAAGAGGAGTAAAATCCTAAATACTGCTATTAACAGACTATTTGATGATCCAGAGGGGTATTTCACAAAATAGGAAAGGATCCTATTATCTGATTCACATTACCAAATTGGGGAATACATTACTCTTTTAAAAAAAGTCCAGAAAAAATTCCCCTTACCAGTATAAGCCAATTTGTACTAAAAACTTTTCCTTTTGCTTAATTTAAAAATGCTCACTCCCATTTGAGCAGGATTTTTATTAACAGAATTTCCAAAAGACCATACAAATCATTAAATCACTCTTCTATATAAAAGTCAAAAGGTTTGACTTTTCTATGTGGAGAATGTTCTGGGCATCCCACTTTTTTCTGATGTTTTAATATCTGTATCTAAAAGAGAAGCCCCTATTTATTAAGGTGAATTTAAAGAAAATGATTTGAAACTGCAACAAATTTTTCTAAAAAGGCATTTGGCTCGTGTTTTACCTATAACCTTCCTAACCTATTACTCTTTATATTTGGGAAGAATGAACTTTTGATTCTGAAAATGCTAAAATAAACTTATTCTTCTTGAATTTAGTCATCACTCTTGGCTTTCAAAATAATTTTGAGTTGAATTTTCTAAGTCACCTCACCCTTCGACTTGTTATGAACCTCCAAATTAGTGGTCATGCTCTAGACAGTCTATCAAGTTAATAAGACAAAGTTTTAAAGGATAACACATCGCTAAATAATCTTCTCCTTACTGGACTGAGCACAGGACAGCCCCAGTGGGGTAATGCCCCCAAATCTCATGATTGACATAGATGGGTTATTATAAGTAAAAATATACAATTTTCAAATTTAATCAGCTTTTAATACTGGTAGTATATAACTATATCCATTATATAATACTGGTACTGTAGCTGCACGGGATTTAGCTTTAAAAAATTGGGTAACACTGTTCAGCTCCATGTCTAGGTATTGAATTACTGAAATTTAGATTAATTAATTTTATATTAATAGGTTCAAAGCTTCTTGAGGCCTTATATTTTTCCCTGACCTATAAAAGATAAACCCATGTCGTTATTCAAGCCTCTCTTGTCTATCTAACATCTATCTGGTGTGGGCAGATACTTCCAGAATTAGAATTTTCCATGAAAACAAACATTAAGAGGTAGTTTTTTAAAATATCTTTTAGGCCTAGTACCTGAAGAAGCTAATGTCTGGTGGAAACTTCAGTGCTTATAGTAAAACGTATCTGCTGGGCTTTCATACTAAGAAAACAAACTTAGTAGTTCCAGTTTTGGTAACATCGGCGCACCGACAAAGTGATGTTCGTGGGAATGATTCCCACTATCTAAGAGATACTTAAATTCAGAGCCACTTTCCATTGGGGAGGTTTCTTTCCACCTTCTTAGTGCCCAGGACAGGGGTCCTCCCAGATCCACAGTGGACTTGAGCATGGCCTGTCCCTTCCCCAAAGGAGACGGACAGGCGGGGTCCACAAGCCCACTTTCCGGGGAACGAGTTCAGAAGCCAACAGCTCAGAGTGATGAGGACCTCCCGGGGAGGGATAAGGAGAGAATACTAAAGACCCGAGCCAAAGTTCAGCCCTCGAAAGTCGCTCTGTGGGTGGGGCCGAGGGCAGTGTCCCCGCGCCCTGCGGCACCGCCAAGCGTGACCTGCCGCGCAGGGCCGGCCGGGATCCCCGCCCCGGTGCCTGACCTCAGCCGGCACGTTTGTCGGCGTGCTTTGGGGACAGCGGGCCGCCCTCGGCAGGACGTGCTTCACTGGGTCTGGCGCGGGAGTCGCCACTCACCGAGGTTGACGACCTTGAGCGCCGTGAAGAAGCGGTTCTGCTGGGCCAGGTCCTGCCAGGGCGCCTTGGAGCAGTGGTACTTGATGAAGGGGAAGCAGCCGGTGCGCAGGACGTGGTAGTTGGCGCCCTGCACGGGCCAGTTAAAGTGCGAGAGGCCGAACTGGTCGTTGCGGACCGCGCTGTAGGGTACGCAGAAGGAGGTCCAGTGCGGCAGGCGCCGCTGCAGCAGGTGCCTCGTCAGCACCTCCGAGGCGCGGGGCTTCGGGCGGGAAGAGGCGCCCGAGGCCCAGGGCCCGCACAGCAGCAACCGAAGCGCGGCCTCGTGGGCCCTCCGCAGGGCCTCCATGGCCGGCCGCGCCGAGGAGGCGGCCCCGCGTTCGCGGTCGCCGCGGGGGCGCGCCTTAAGGGGCGGGGTCGCCGGAGCGGCGCGCGCCCGCACCTTTCCCCAAACCCCCACCGCCCGGGGCCCGGCGGCGGGAACGCCCAACCCGAGGGCGCGGCGCCCGGGCGAGCGAGACCCCAGAGGCTCGGCGGCGCGTGCGCACGGCGGACTGGAGGGGGGATTTTCCCACTAAGGCAGGGGGCGTGGAGGGGAGCGAGGGACGCCTGTGCAGAGGAGCTGGTTAGATTGTCACATATGACCTTACGTAGTCAGTACTAACTCTGGGGCGGGCAGGATTTATCAGTTTGAATATGAGCAAAATTAAGGTGTAGGGCATGCAGTGACCACCCTGGCGAATGGCAGAACTCAAACCCAGGTCCCAGACTCTAAGAAATCCTTAGTTGGCACTGTAGAAACCCTTGAGAAGCTGCCCTTGGGGAAATGAGTTAGAAGCCAAAACTCCAGATTTGCATTACCTGGTAAGATGGGGGAACACTTTTGTGTATAGATCCTCAGTATTATTCACTATTTAAAATAAGTCCTGGATAGTTAGAAAATAGAGTTCAGCTAAGGCCAGACGTCGTGGCTTGCACCTGCAATCACAGCTACGGGAGGCTGAGTCAGGAAGATTGCCTGAGCCCAAGAGTTCAAGGTTGCAGTCAGCTGCGTTGACCCCACTACATTCCAGCTTGGACCACGGGGCAAGACCCCATCACAATAGAATAATCAAAAGTTTATTTTTAGGCTCGGCGCCTGTGGCTCAAGCGGCTAAGGCGCCAGCCACGTACACCTAAGGTGGCGGGTTCGAATCCCCAGCCCGGACCCGCCAAACAACAATGACGGCTGCAACCAAAAAATGGCCGGGCGTTGTGGCGGGCGCCTGTGGTCCCAGCTAGTTGGGAGGCTGAGGCAGGAGACTCGCTTGAGCCCAGGAGTTGGAGGTTGCTGTGAGCTGTAATGCCACGGCACTCTACCCAGGGGGACAGCTTGAGGCTCTGTCTCAAAAAAAAAAAAAAAAAAAAAAGTTTATTTTTAAAAAAATCACTGAATCTGGATTGGGCGCAGTGGCTCATGTCTGTAATCCTAGCACCCTGGGAGGCCAAGAGGCTGGATTGCTTGAGCTCAGAAGTTGGAGACCAGCCTGAGCAACCCTGTCTCTACTAAAAACAGAAAACTAATCCGGCATCAGGGCAGGGACCTGTAGTCCCAGTTATTTGGGAGGCTGAGGCAAGAGGATTGCTCAGGCCCAAGAGTTTAAGGTTGGTGTGAGCTATGATGCCAAGGGCAATGGAGTGAGACTCAGGCTCCAAAAAACAAACAACCCCCCCCCCCGTATTTCTTGGCTCAATGCCCAGATGTGTAGAACCACCTCCCTTCTAAGAAACTAGTAAATGCCAGACCAGAAGCCTTTTAGTTATCAACCTTCACAATCCTTATCATACAGTATCAATCCATTACAGTAGGAAAACCTTTTCTTAAACTTTGAGGCCTCTTGGGATAATAATTTATATACACACTTATTTTCTAAAGAAGCATTTCTCTTTTTCCCCCTAAACTCATCTTGTTTAGAGAGACCATACATAAATAAGATGATGTGTCTGAAAGCACCTTACATAAATGAGGTAATTATGTGTAATCATCATATAGCAATTACTGTTATTGCTGCAAACTCAAGAGGGATGTGGGATAGTCTGGTTAGTTTTTATATTCTTCAGTTTTTATTCGTTCATTCAGCAAACATTGATTGAGCATCCTCTAACAGTTGCCAAATCTTGAGAGACCTTGTACTCGTGCAAATAATTTGGGTTTTGCCTTATAGAATTTCCAATTAGATAAAACTTTTGTTTTGTTTTGAGACAGGGTCTCACTATGTCACCCTCGGTAGAGTGCTGTGGTGTAGCTCTTGGGCTACAACTCTTGGGCTTAAGCGATTCTTTTACCTCAGCCTCCCAAGTAGCTGGGATTATAGGCACCCGCCACAATGCCCGGCTATTTTTGTTGCGGTTGTCATTGTTGTTTAGCAGGCCCGGGTCAGGTTCAAACCCACCTGCCTTGGTGTATGTGGCCAGTGCCCTACCACTGAGCTATGGGCACCAAGCCATAGATAAAAGTTTTTAAAATATTTTAGGTGCTGGCACAGATGTGGAGAGAGGGTAACACATTGGTGGGATTACAAACTAATACAACCTCCTAGGAAAGAAGTATGGTGACTCCTGAAAGAACTCAAAATAGACCTTCCATTTGATCCTGCAGTCCCATTACTAGGTATCTACCCAGAAGAAAAAAAATCATTTTATCATAAGGACCTTTACACTAGATTGTTTATCACAGCTCAATTTACAATCCCCAAGATGTGAAAACAACCCAAGTGCCCATCAACACATGAATGGATTAATAAACTGATGCATATGTATACTATGAAATACTATTCAGCCATAAAAAGATGGAGAATTTACATCTTTTGTATTAACCTGGATGGAGTTGGAAAACATTCTCTTCAGTAAAGATCACAAGAATGAAAAAGCGATATCCAGTGTACTCGATACTGATATGAAGCCAGTAGGTGAACTAATACATGCCCCCCAAACAAGAGAAAAACTCAATTTAATTCAAGTTGAGGGGAGGCAGGGAGGGGGATGGAGAAAGGAGGAGGGAGAGGGATTGGTGTGCTCCCAACTAACGGGCACAATGTAAAAGTGTATATGGCACACCTCCTGCAAGTCACAGCTACAACAGGGACCTCACCTAACAAATAGAAACATTGTAACCTAATCATATATGTCCTCATACTAATCTGAAATAATACTAAAAAATAGGTAGAGGCATGATGTAGTTAGATTGTTTATGGGGATGGCTGAAAGAGAGATGAGGACAGGAGGCAGGAAGGCACATGATTTTTAAATGAAATTTTAAAAAGCATTGGAGTCCCTTTTCAAACAAAATCGGTTGAGAGCACCCTAATTTATAAAGTAGGTTAAAATTTGACTTGTTACTAAACATTTTTGTTGCTATGTGTGTTGTGGAAACAAAACTTTTGTAGAGTAGAAAGGAAATTTACTGGAAGGGAATTGGGTGGCTAAAATAATGAATAAGAAGTCAGGATAACCAAGAAGGAACCCAGGAGTCTGGACAGGAGCTAATCTGGTTAGCATGCCATGGCTGACTTCTCTGCCATTGGACTTTTGACCCATTGGGTTTTGTTTGTTTGTTTGTTTGTTTGTTTTTTGAGATAGAGTCTCACTGTGTCACCCTGGGTAGAGAGCCATGGCGTCATAGCTCACAGCAACCTCAAACTCTTGGGCTTAAGCGATTCTCTTGCCTCAGCCTCCCAACTAGCTGAGACTACACGCACCCTCCACAACGCCCACTATTTTTTGGTTATAAGTGTCATAGTTTGGTAGGCCTGGGCTGGATTGGAACCCACCAGCTCTGGTGTATGTGGCTGGCGCCCTAGGCTACAGGCACTGAGCCTGACCCGTTGTTTTATGCTCCCCAAAGTTTGAAGTTGAGGGTTGTGGTCAACAGTTGCAGTTATAGGAGCTTAAGCAACCAGTTTATTTCTGGATCTTCTGTTTTGGTTGTATACTATCATGACAATTCTGATTTCTCCAGAAAAGTATATACAAATAAGAGTTTGTAAACAATTCACCATGAAATTTGGGCATGTGCTTCAATTACGAAGATGGCAGCAGGAGAATAATTATGAAATCTGTACTAACATGACTTAAACTCAAATTAATGTGCAGGCATTTTGCAAAATGTTAAATTTTGGCATTATCTTTCTTTTGGCAATATAAAAATCTCTGTTTTAAAAAACTAGTTTGAATCAAACATGCAGAATCCTTTAACTATGTCTGAGAAACCCTAGGTTTTGTGACATATGATACAACCACCACTGATACAGAGAACCAGATATTAGATAGGTTCACTTCTCATTACGAAGCCTTCGATAAACAGCTAGGAAACTGAAGGAATTCTGTTGGAAGCTGAGCTCTTGGATAAACCTTGTCAATGATGAGGGGTTCCCCTGATCCAAGGCTTTTTGACTATCTCCCTCTCTTTTCAATTCTAAGGTTGAAGGTTCCTCCAAAGATAACTGATGGATGGTGGACCACACCCAGGTATTCAACAGTGTTTGAATGAAACATTCCCCTACCTAAAGACACAAAGATGGAGAATATGACATCTCTTTTGACTTTAAGATTATATGGTGCTCCTTGCATATTTGAAATAAGATGATCTCTTTAAAAAAAATCAACCAACATCACAACTTAAATCGGATGCTTGATTTTCTTTTCAGAGTCAGTCCTCCCCATCCTACCATCCATCCATTCCTTCCTTCCTTCCTTTTTTTTTTTTTT